CTGGCTAATTTTTGTATTTTTAGTATAGACGAGGTTTCACCATGTTGGCTAGGCTGGTCTCGAACCCCCAACCTCAAGTGATCCACCCTTCTTGGTCTCCCAAAGTGCCAAGATTACAGGTGTGAGCCACTGCACTCGGCTGTAATCTTCTTTCTTTCTTTTTTGAGACGGAGTGTTGTTCTGGTGCCCAGGCTGGAGGGCAGTGGCATAATCTCAGCTCACTGCAAACTCTACCTTCTGAGTTTAAGCAATTCTCCTGCCTCAGCCTCCTGAGTAGCTGGGATTACAGGCACTTGCCACCACACCAGGATAATTTTTGTGTTTTTAGTAGAGACAAAGTTTCCCCATGTTGGCCAGGCTTGTCTTGAACTCCCCACCTCAGGTGATCTGCCCATCTCAGCCTTCCAAAGTGCTAAGATTACAGGCATTGAGCCACTGCACCTGGCCCAGCCAGACTTTTCTAATAGTTGACTGGGTCCCTCATATTTCAGCCTCTTTATGAGTGATTCCCTTTGGTCAGTAACATTCTCTGCATTTAATAAACCTTACAACTTGCTTTCATGCAAGTGTGCTTTACTCAATTAGGTCCGTATAGAGATACCGGGGTGGGACCGGCCCAGAATAAAGTAGGAGAATCTTACTACTTGGTAACCTGGAGCCTGAGGACCCACCAGTAAAGACCACTCCCCTCCAAAGTCTTCTTTATACATCTAGAAGGGCATTATTATTTTATGAAATTCAGGAAACATTTCTCTCTGCAGCCTGGCAGAGGAAATATTGTTAGGATTTACTTAAGGAAATCCATGTTCCAAACTGGCTAAAGAATTTAAAAATATATCTTGCTTGTCATTTTCAGATGGCTAGCGGGGTGTGTGTGTGTGTGTGTGTAGAGTGTGTGTGTGAGAGAGAGAGAGAGAGAGATATGAGAGTCTTAAGGTGCTAAATATTTACTCAGCATTTTTTGCCTAGTAATAATAATTCATATTTCTTGGAAACTTGTTACATTGCCACACAGTGTTCTAAACTCCTTATAACATTCATATCCCACAGTGAATAATATTTAAACTACCATTTAAATATTCAATCTGAAATGGTTTCAGGTGGTGTCTGGATGGAACTTTCTAATTACCTACTCGATTGTGCAAACGAATTGTTCCAAAGAGAATTTTCTGTTCTTAACTCCAGACTGCAAGTCCCTTTCGAATGGTGTAAGTAGCCAAAAATTTAATTATGAAGTTCTTAGCATTTTATTTACATGTTGATGGTAACTATCAAGCTGGGTGGGAAGACTGTCACTAAAGTTTTAGACAACATTCAGTAATTCACATTCACATTCACTAGGGCCCCCTAAAGCTCACATCACTGGTCAAGCTACCTCACCTACCTGGCCAAAGAATCTGCACAGCTAGCAATAAGTATTTTTTATAACTTGATTTTATTTTATTTTTTGAGAAAGAGTCTCACTCTGTTGCTCAGGCTAGAGTGCAGTGGTGCCATCTTGGCTCACTGCAGCCTCCACCTCCCAGGTTCAAGCAATTCTCCTGCCTCAGCTTCCCAAGGAGCTGGGACTACAGGCGCCTACCACTGTGCCTGGCTAATTTTTGTGTTTATAGTAGAGACAGGGTTTTACCATACTGCCCAGGGAGGTCTTAAACTCCTGACCTCTGGTGATCCACCTGTCTTGGCTTCCCAAAGTGCTAGAATTACAGGCGTGAGCCACCGCGCCAACTGCGCCCAGCCGGTAATAAGTAGCTACAGAGTGAAACCAGGGAGGAGACATAGACAAAATGCTTGAACTGTCAAGTGTATCTTTGTTACGTTTCCACACATTCCTATTTCCTTTTCTTCCCCATGTGCTCAATGCCCATGTGTTTGTTCCCTTGCTTTACCCAGGACTATTTTCTTTTCTTTTTTGAGACAGAGTCTTGCTCTGTCACCAGGCTGGAGTGCAGTGGCACGATCTTGGCTCACTGCAACCTCCGACTCCCTGGTTCAAGCGATTCTCCTGCTTCAGTCTCCCGAGTAGCCGGGATTACAGGCACGTGCCACCACGCCCAGCTAATTTTTGTATTTTTAGTAAAGATGGGGTTTCACTATGTTGGCTAGGCTGGTCTCTATCTCCTGACCTTGTGATCCGTCTGCCTCGGCCCCCCAAAGTGCTGGATTACAGGTATGAGCCACCATGCCCGGCTGCCAGGACTATTCTTCATGTCAAACTTTTCTCTGTTTGTTTTCTCATCTTCCCCCCCCACCTTTATTTTTAATAAACAGACCCTGAGTCTCTAGCTTTCAGTCCTTTATAGCATCATATCTTGTTATCTGAACCAAAATTACATTAAAATGGTGTATCTGAAGGTAGTCGTATCTAGTGAACGTTAAGATGGCTAAGACATGATATGTTCCCAGGGATGTTTGCATTTCCGCAGACGACTGTGCTTTAGCCAAGGGATTGCTGCAAGTCCTTTAATCTAGGAATGCTGCTTCTAATTCTTTTATATGGGAAATCCAGACCATAAGATGTTAATTTCAGTTGTTTTTTAATAGGAAAATATTATAAATAAATTGTTTATACAACATTAGAGAATGGCTAAATAAATTACAGTATATCCATACAGTAAAATCTGATACAACTATCAAAAATTTTTAGTTTTTAGTAACATAGTAAAATGGTTACAATGTTAATTAAAAAAACATAAAAATTAGGATACAGGCCAGGCGTGGTGGCTCACGCCTGTAATCCCAGCACTTTAGGAGGCAAAGGCTGGAGGATCACAAGGTCAGAAGACTGGGACCATCCTGACCAACATGGTGAAACACTGTCTCTACTAAAATACAAAAAATTAGCAGGGCATGGTGTCATGTGCCTGTAGTCCCAGCTACTCGGGAGGCTGAGGTAGGGGAACCGCTTGAACCCAGGAGGCAGAGGTTGCAGTGAGCCGAGATCACGCCACTGCATTCCAGCCTGGCGACAGAGCAAGACTGTCTAAAAAAAAAGTAGGATACAAAACTATACTGTTATATAGATTTATTTAAATATACAAAATAAATGTAAATATAAAAAGTGATGGAAAACAAATTATGACAAAATATAGGATGTAGTTAAATTTCAGTTGGAATTGTGGGTGCTTTATCTGATTCTTCATATTTTTTGCAAATTTTTGATACTTCCCAAATTTTCTAATTGAGCATGCATTTATTTCATAATTGGAGAAAAAAGTAAAAAGGACACTATCAAGAGAGTAAAAATACAAACCACAGAATGTGAGAAAATACTTTTAAATCATGTATCTGATAAGGGTTTAACATGTAGAATATATAAAGAACTTCTTTTGTTCATAAAATAACAAGTATTAGAAAGGACATAGAGAAATTAGAACTTTTGTACATTGCTGGTAGGACTGTAAAATGCTGCAGCCATTATAGAAAATAATTGGGCAATTTCTGAAAATGTTAACCATAGAATTACTCTATGACCCAGAAGTTGCACTCCTAGGTATATGCCCAAAAGAACTGGAAACACATATTCAAACACATGCTTATACATGAAAGTTAATAGCAGCAAAATTCATAACAGCCAGAAAGTCAAAATAACCCAAGTGTACATTAACAGGTGAATAGATAAACAAAATGTGCTATTATATATACACACAATGAAACACTTCACCCTTTAAAAAGAATGAAGTTCTGATACATGCTACAATGTGGATGTAGCTTGGAAATATTATGCTAAGTGCAATAAGCCAGATACACACACAGAATATTGTATGGATTCCACTGATGTGAAACATTTAGAATAGGCAAATTGATAGAGACAGTGAGTAAATGAAGATTTGTGAGTGGATAGGAGGTGAGAATGGGGATTTAGTGCTCAGTGGGTAAGAACTCTGTTTGAGGGGGATGAAAACTTTTAGAAATGGTGATGGTTGCATGACATTGTGAATGGAATTAATGCCACTGAACTGTATCCTTTAAAATGGTTAAAATGGCAGATTTTATGTTATACATGTTTTATCACATTTCACACAGAACCTAGCTATGTTTGTTTATTATTCTTTTTTCCCCTCTCTTCTGGGGACCTTGGCATAGGTCTTTCTCTGTATTTTTCTCCCTCTGTTTTTAAATTATGAAATCGTGTCAAGTCAAAAATTAACTCAGAATGCTGTTCTGACAACATTATATGGAATTCTCCTTTTTGTTATTTAGTTTGTATTTTTTTTTTCCTTATCCAAAGAAGAACCTAACTTTTTAGGCAAGCATGTTTATATTTCCAAGTATATTGTTTTTGTTTGTTTGTTTAAACAAGTTACTAATTTTTAGAGATTTTTTTTTTATGCTGAGGTAAAAGAACATACCCTGTATTGTGTCTGCTTTGTAAAATATATTGAATCTTTTTGTAACCTGACATAAAAACAATAAAAAATATTTGCATGATACTGGCCGGACGCAATAGCTCATGCCTGCAATCCCAGCAGTTTGGGAGGCTGAGGTGGGTGAATCACTTGAGATCAGGAGTTCAAGACTAGCCTGGCCAACATGGCAAAACCTTATGTCTACTAAAAATATGAAAAAATTAGCCAGGTGTAGTGGCACGCACATGTAATCCCAGGTACTTGAGAGGCTGAGGCAAGAGAATCACTTGAATCCAGGAGGCAGAGGTTGCAGCGAGCCAAGATCATGCCACTGCACTCCAGCCTGGTGACAGAGCAATACTCCATCTCAAAAAA